GGGGGGGTGGCCCCGCCATGGGAGCCAGGTGGGGAGCAGCCAGGTGGGGAGGAGACGCTGACTCTCCCATGGTTTTACTAACAGAACGCGGGGTCCTGGAGTGGCCTCGGGCCTTTGTCTCAGTCACAGCATCTACAAGGTGGAAGGTTTGGATCTGACTGTCTGCCACTGCCGGGCAATAGATGGCTCTTAGCAGCCGTCGATGGGCGCGCCATTCTCTGCACCGTGGAAGGCACAGCAGGCCGGTGGCTGGACCTCTAGGCTTTGGAATCGATTCTGTCACTAACAGTTTAGATGTGTACGGATCTTTCACTATCGTCCTATCCAGCCATTCGGCTTACAGATGAGGAATTTGATACTGTGAGGGGAAGCCATTAAGTAACTTCGTGTAACCTACTTAGCTCCACCCGCCGCCTGACCTCCGTGTCTCCGACTGGTAATCCCAACCACTGGTGCTGCCAGCACTGCTGTTGCTGCAGTCAGCCTGACACTGCGACAGCGCCAGAGCCTACCGGGCACCTCCAGCTACTACCGGCCACTTACCATCTCCTTACTGCATCCTCGTGCAAGCCCCAAAGGGCAGGTGGTATTTCCCTGCCTCATGTGTGGAAGGGAGGCCAAGGTTGAGAGAGTGCAAGCTTTTCCAAGGCCACCTGGCTGGCGGGGGTGCTCTGGGATCCCAGCCCAGGCAGAGGGCATCACTGATTGCCTCGCTCTGTGGCTGGCCCAGGCTGAAGGTGCACGGACAGGTGCAATGCATGTGCCATGTAGTGTGTCATGGGTGGAGATTCTGTCATCGTCACTGTGGTTGCTGTTGCTCCCTTGGATTTGGGTTTACAGCGAGCTGCCACCCTATCCTTCACTCTCTCTCCCTTCATTAAGTATCTCTGTTTTTCCTGCTACACAGACAGACTTGCCTACCTCCTGGCCCAGATGCCCCCAGCACACATGAAGGCATCTCAAGGCAAACCTGGGCCCCCAGGGCCCCCCGGAAAAGATGGACTTCCAGGCCACGCAGGCCCCATGGGAGAGCCAGGCCGGCCTGGGCAGGGCGGTGTGGAAGGACCCTCTGGACCAATAGGTCCCAAAGGTGAGTGGGACCCTGGAGGAGATGTGCCTCCCGGACTGCGGGGACTGGGCGGAGCTGGGCAGAGGAGCACACAGTGAGCGTGTGTGGTTCCTTCCCCTCTCCCTGCAGCGTGGGTCAGTCTCAAGTTCGGCATCTTATCATCTTTCATATGTGTAAGAGGTTTTCATACTTGACACTTTTGTTAAATGATGCTTCTGCTCAGAAAATTGAATCAGTCTCCTCCGACTTTCTTTCTTTTTAAACTCCAGTGCTCAAGTTCCAGGGGTGTCATACAAAATGCCCTTCTCCTCTTCCTTACTGAGGCTAGAACACTGAGCTTTACCGCTGGATAAAGTGGCTTTGAGCTGCAGCTAAAAATGGCTGCTAACTGACCAGCTCTCACGTGGAGTGACCTGCCTGGACTCAGCACTCTGGACTGACAGCGCACCTTTCCTTCCAGGGGTGCAGCCTGCCCCACTTCACTCACCACGCAGTGGCAAGCAGGCCAGGAGGCTCACGCCCCTGTGGGCAGACAGATAAGACAGAGCACGAAAGGCCTGAAGCAAACCCACCAGCCTGGTCACATGCTCCGTTCTAATGAGCCCAGGCTGGGGAGAAGCATGTGGAGCAATGGTAGCTGCCACTTGGTAACGTGAAGCTTGAGAAATGGATCCCTGACAGCCTCCTTTTGGGATCACCCATTTTCTTATTTATTAATTATTAATGAATGATTTAGTCATTCATCCCTGTAATATTTCTCCTACATGAAAGGCATTTTGTTAAATATGTGTGTCCTAGTTCTAGTCATTTTAGTCAATAAAACAAAATATATGAAATAAGCATCAATAGGAAAGCTTAAAGCATAAAAGTATCAGATGACAGCAGAGTGTTGGCCAGGCATAGCACAGGGTGTGCTGCTCGATGACGGGAGGACATCCTGAGAAAGGTGTCGTTAGGCGACTTTGTCATTGTGGGAGTATCTGACAGTGGCCTCCACAAACTCGGATGCTAGAGCTCCCATGCACCTCTGCGATGTCCACGCTCCAGCCTGTTGCCCCACCGTGGCACATGTGGTCCATCGCCAAGCAAACTGTCCTTACGTAGCTCCTGACCGTAATTTTGACAATAAAAATGGCCTACAGACCCTACGACTTAGCAGGATTCAATGGAGGTTATGAGAGAAAACGTAATGCATAGAAGAGATAGCCTGCAAACAGCGTGGCAAAAACAGTGATTGCTTAAAAACGAAGCTGAGAGATACTTCATTCAAACCTGCACAATCTTAACTTAGACATGAGTTCAAATATTCTCCCAAGGGAGTGACGCCTCTCTAGTCTGAATATCTGTGGTGTTTTTTCAATTTCTTGGATGGTTCCTTCACATTCTGTTTCATATTAGGTTATCCTTGGTACCGTTTTATCTATCTTGTGAGATTGCAAGCTTCCTGAGAGCAGCGATGTGTCTACTCATGACTGCATGTTTCTACCACCCAGTGTGTTGAATCTGTTTATCTATTACCCCATTTCAGCTTGATAAAAGCTCAGGGAAAGTGCTTTGGGGACACAGGGAAGTGTAAACACTTGGGAGGAGGTGCTTGTGGGCTCACGTGTACGTAGGAGAGACGGTGGGTGTGTACATTTGGTTGCTTGTGTGGGAGTGAGTCTGTGCTTCTGTGAGTGTACTGATACATCTGTTGGTGTGTGTGTTTGTAATGGAGTAGACAGGGGCCTGAGCGAACGTTCATGTATATGAGTGGACTTCAAAAAGTAATGGAAAATGGAATTAAAAGATAAAATTGGGGCTGGCAGGTGGCGTGGTGTTAAGAGTGCTGGACTCCCACATGGCAACCGTGGTTTGAGTCCCAGATGTGACGACTTGCTTTCTCTCTCTTGCTCTCTCTCTCTCTCTCTCTTACTCTGTCCCTCTCTGGTCAAATTAAAATAGATAAATAATTGAATAAATATATAAAGGTAAATAATTTTTTGAAAAGATAAAATTAAAAATGTAAACTATTTCTCCACATAAACTCCATCAATCTGGAATATTTTTGTATGCAGTAACAGCCATTTAGTCCACCTAGAAATTGCGTTATGTCGATGCAGTCTTTTAGAAATTATTAACTGAAGAAAAATGGGTCCCCTCTAAAGATTTTCTAAGATTAGGAAACAAAACAAAGTCAAAAGCCCCAAATGAGGACTGCGTGGTGCACCCCTAATGATTTCGCTTTGAAACTCTCCCAGCCTCGGCCTCGTTTGGTGAGAGGGCTGAGCTGCAGCGTTGTCATGGCGAAGGACTCTTTCTCAGCAGCGTTTCTGCTGTGGCTAACTTCTCAAAACAAGTTGTTTTGTTTTGTTTTAGTATTATTTACTGGAGGATGCATGTGCTCCCCAGAGAGAGACAGGGAGAGGGAAGGTGAGAAAGCACCCCCATGGAGCATGGTCACACTGCAATCCCTTGTCCTCCATTTCTCCCTCCTTGGGATTCTGGGTGTGCATGCACATGCACCTGGTGTGTGTTTTCAGCTACAGGGTCTGGGTCGTGAACTGCACGGTTGGCCTTAGCCACCACGGCACAGGCCAGCCCAGCGTTCTCCTAGTGAGTAGATGTTATTCTTCGGCCTCTCAGAAAGTCAACAAGTGAAATGTCTTGAGCATTCCCCCAAAAACAGTCACCTCGCCCTCTGCTCTTGCCAGGCCCACTTTGGCTTTACTGGGCCATGCCACCACTGGGTAGCCATTGCTTCGATTGTGCTTTGTCTTCAGGATCCCACTGGTCATGCCAGGTGTCATGTCTTGTGACGATTCTTCACGGAGATGCTTCCGGAGATTGAGCCCACTTATTTGAATTTTCCTTTGAAATCTCTGCTCTTGTCTGGAGGCAACAGGGCTGGCACTCACTGAGCAAACAGTTTGCTCTAGTGTAATTTTCGGTCGGAACTGCACAAGTTGAACAGCTACTGTTTCTGCTCTTAACCATCGGTCCTCTTCTGTTAAAGCACAAACAAGATTAATTTTGTTCCTTACAAATTATAGGGATGTCACTTCAGGCATCCTCAACATCATCTTGTCCCTTCCTAACTTATTCAGTGTAAACTGTGGATTCTTTGGGGCATAGTCCATATAAACTTTGTGTAAGGCATCTGTGATTTCACTATTTTTCCAGCCAAACTTCGCCATAATTGCAGTGTTTGTTCTTGCTTCAATTTTAACAGAATCCATGTTGTTCTGATAGGGGCTCTTTGCAAACTGACGTCTTACCCCTCTTAGTAGCTCGAAGTAGATCCCATTCAGACATGTAAGAAGTTAGTATCAGTTTACTTTCATACAAAGTTTCTCTGGTTCCATGCATGGACTTTTCAAGATGCATGTTTTCTGCGAACATCCTGAGGCCCCCCACGTGTGTATTTAAGCCTGCGTTTGGGGGAGTGTCTGTTTATTGTGGTGATCACTTGCACACATTTCTGAACGAGGCTGTGTACATGGGAATGAGTGTGTGCATGGGAGCTGGCACAATGTGGAGGGAGTGGGTGGTCAGGGGTGGTTCTGAACACAGCACCGCAGCTCACAGTGCTGTGTGGACGGAGTGAGTGGGCAGGGGTGGTTCCAAGCACAGCACTGCAGCTCACCATGCTGTATGGACGGAGTGTGTGGGCAGGGGTGGTTCCAAGCACAGCACCGCAGCTCAGTGCTGTGTGGAGGGACTGTGTGGTTCCGAGCACAGCACCGCAGCTCACAGTGGTTTTCAGCTACGGGGTCTGGGTCGTGAACCACACAGTTGACCTTAGCCACCACGGCACAGGCCAGCCCAGCGTTCTCCTAGTGAGTAGATGTTATCATTCTTCTGAGCACAGCACCGCAGCTCACAGTGCTGTGTGGACGGAGTGTGTGGGCAGGGGTGGGTCTGAGCACAACATCACAGCTCAGTGTTGTGTGGACGGAGTGTGTGGGCAGGGGTGGTTC